ATTCTATTCTGCTATGCTATTCTATTCTGCTATGCTATTCTATTCTATTCTGCTATGCTATTCTATTCTGCTATGCTATTCTATTCTATTCTGCTATGCTATTCTATTCTATTCTATTTTATTGCTCAAGTAATGCTTTTAGGAACTGACCTGTAATGGCGTGCCATCTTTCAGCCAGGTGAGAGTTGGAGGTGGAACAGCCTCTGACTTGCATTCCAGAGTCACCTGGCCGTTCTGCAGCACTGACAGATGCTGAGGTGCGCTTTCACCAGAAATGTTAGGAGGAACTGAAAGAAACACCAGAAAAACGTAGAGATTAAAATAAAAAAATAAATAAAAAAAACAGAATAATTCTTTAAATATTGATATTAAGAGTTTCATAAAAAAATAAAAAAAAAAAGAATCTATTAAATATATAGTACTTTTTAATCTTTATTCTTTTGATAGGTAACATATGGTTATTGATCAAGGTTGGGGGTACTGAACACATTGATTCTAAATCTAGATCTCATTGAGGAATAAGTTAACGATACGATACGAACCTATATGTTATCTAAAGTTAAGTAATAACCACAACATTCTCAATGACAACAAATGTAAATCTAGACTTGAAATAAAAAAAAACTTTTCAATCTGTAAAATATTAAATAAAATTAGAATGTAAAAACCCCAAACTAAAAGACAACTTTCTCTGATTTAGCTTTATGATTTAATCCTATTTTCAGCTCAATGTTTGGAGAATACATTCATGTTTATTAAAGTTAACTAAGTTGTGAGATAAGTGTTCACATGACACTGAGCATTGTTATTTATACATTTTTGATGTTCTGCTAAATAAAAAAACAAAACAAGTATTTTAATCTCTTTTTATTAAACATACTTTCATATCTTACTTGCCATTGAAACACATCTATTCTATTCTATTCTATTCTTGACAATAAAAGCATCCCTATAAATACATACATGTGTGGTTAACAGAAACTGGCCCATCTAGTAAGAAACATCTTTAAGGAAAAAGATAATACAGTTTGGGTTTCATCCCTGAAATCTGTTATTTATGTTGCTATGGAAACAGAGGTCACAAGCTGGAACTCCTCAATCTGCTCTCTGGACCTAAGGGTTCTGTAGATGGACCCTCCTCATCCTCGCTGCTCTTTTTCTTCTAACTAGAAGGACTAATGCTACTGTAGCACTTTTTTTTCTTCTCTTTTTTAAAACTTATTATTAAATAAACATAAATGACAGCACAGGATACATTCACAAAGATAATATACCGACCCAAAAGCCCCCTCACACTCATTCACATTCATTCACCCACCTTGAATGAATTCCTTCGTCCACAAATTACATTTTTCAAAATAAACATTTGAGAACTTCCCTACTGTTTTTATATTTTCTGGCTTCATTATCGGTTTCAACCATATAACTTTATAAAGTTTAAAAAAATGCTGAATAACTGCTTTAAAGAGATTAATACTAAGTGAAAATCTATTTTTTTTATAAGTACAATGATTAAATTACCTAAGTTCTGACTGTCGATAAACTCCCCCAGTGAAACAGAAACCACATCAAGCTTCATAGACCGACTTAAACACATTTTTTCTGTAACAATTGCTACTGACAACAAACACCTGCCAACCTGATGATATCCAGAAGGAATCTTCATAGTTTGATTGATTTCAAACATTTTGGAATCAAATTAGTGTTGTTTTTATCCAGTTATTATCTTAATTATGTGGCTTTTGTCTCAGATTTCTAACATTCTTGAAAACTAAAAGACCGTAGACCTCATGTCACTCACTGTGAACTCGAACCAAAAACTCCTTGTCATCGTCTCCTGCTGGGCTACTGGCTAAGCAGCTGTATCTACCAGTGTCCTCCAGCTGTAAAGATAAGGAAAAAGTATAATGTTAATGAATGATACCATTTTTATGCTCTGACAAAAAGATGAAAGATTTACCGGTTTAAATTTGCTGAGACCAACCTGAGCTGAGGTCACACGGAGTATCTCTCCTCCACGGAGGAGACGCAGACTTTCTGTCCGTGGGAGCGGCCGTTCGTCCTTCAGCCAGGTCAGGGTGGGAGTTGGGATGCCTGTGGCCTCACAGAGTAGCTCCAGGACATTATTAACCACTACAGAAACTTCTGCTGGTTGATCAGAGCTCCTGATGTGTGGAGGGTCTGAAGAAGACAGTGAGCAAAGGGAAAATAAAACAAAAGCTGAAAGTAGAAACCAGGAAACTATAAACAATACAGCCATTTTTTTTTCTTTTTTTTACTTACCCAGAACCTTCAGGTTAAAGTGGCGGCTTGCTTGACCAGCGTTGTTATTAGCCAAGCAGCTGTAGCGTCCAGTGTGATTAACTTGGGCACTGTTGAACTGTAAGGTGGTGTTCAATCTGAGGAGACTGAGGCCGTGGTCAGCTGGTAAAATCGCTCCATCTCTGAGCCAGGAAATGGCAGGAGTTGGGCTGCCATCAGCGATACACGCCAAAGACGCCACACTTCCTTTAATTACAGTCACGTCCTCTATGGTTCCTGCTCCTTCCAAACCCGGAGGAACTAAAGATGGGATTTTAGAAACTCATTAACCTCCAGCTGCTCTTTTCTTCTTTAAAAACTCCTAAATCTATGAACACAAACACTCACCGTGAACCTGCAATTTATACTGTCTGTTGTCGACTCCTGCTCGGTTAGATGCCACACATGTATAGCTTCCACCATCAGACACCTGGACTCGGGTAATCCTGTTATACAAAAGGGCAAAATGCTCGATCGTACATATCCATGTGTGTCGGAATCAAAACCTATGGTGATTACACAGTATTAATCGGATCATAAACACTTTTATTAACTAGGTCAGAAATGTTTACAGTAATTTAAATGGACTCTAAAGGTAGAATTTTGTGCAACTGCCATTTTATGTAATAACAAAACAAAAAGTAACACAACATAGTTAGAAAAGAAACAAGCAGTGCAACCTTCAATACTCAGGTTATTAGTAAGTAAAGGGTATAAAGGTAGATTTGTGTCAATCAAAAAATATATTTTCAATGAAAAACACCTTTACTTCAATGAAATCAAAAGTTTTCAATCAAAGAAAAACAAATATTTGAATGCAAAAATATAATTAAGACTCAGAAAAATACATTTGAACACTGCTTGTAAAAGTGGCTTCATGTAAAGCACTTTGCATTGTCTTTGAACTGTTTGTGCTATACAAATAAATTTGTCTTGCCTTGCTTTTCTTTGATTGAATTTGTTTTATTTGATAGAAGCCAAGTTTTTTTTTTCTGTTTAAAGCAACTTCTTTAATTGGGTTAAGGACATTTTTGTCTTTATCCTTCAAAAAAGAAGTTGCTTTAAACAAACAACAAAATCTATGGAAGTAAATCTGTCGCTGGGATTCGAATTAAAAATGCTACTGAAATTTAAATTGTTGAATTTTGAAAGGTTGAATTTTTTTATATACAGATTATTTTAACACTCAAAAATTAATAAGTATTGAAAATTTAATCACTTTGAAATAGTAATGTGAATTTTTAGCTTGAAGAGAAAATAAAAAATGAAATTTCAAGTGTGTAGAAATAATGGCAATGAATTTTTTTTAGGTCAAAAATGTGTTCTGAATATATTTTAACACTGAAACAGTAAGTACAAACATACAAAATTTTAATTTCAGTGGCATTTTTAATTCAAATCCCAGTGACACAGATTTACTTTCATAAAAATCAACAAAACATTTAACTTCAATGGAAAGATAAACATTTTCTATCACAGAAAATATTCTGTTAATTCAAATAAAATCTTCAAAACTCAATATAAATTCTGCTGTTTTGTGAAAACCCTTAAAGTTAGTTTGACTAAAAAATTTTACAATTTCAGGGGAGAAATTAAAGCACACCTGGTTTACAACTACTAATAATAAACAAAGCTTTGAATTTCTAATGGACCAATCTGCAATCGATTAGCTGAAATTGAAAAATGGGTTTGGAGAAAACTGTGAAGTGCTGCTGCTTAGGTAGAGGAACACAACTAAAATACTTTATCCTCTCTGGTTGAATGAAATCATGGAGAAACATGATGGTGGATTTGATTTTGAGTATGATATATTTAAAAATTGGAAATGTTGTTTTCAGCATTTTTCTCAGCCAAGAAAACATGCAAGCTATTTAAAGGCGATGGACAATTTTTTTAGCTAAATAAGGTAAAAATGCAAGAAAACCTAAGTAAGATCAGTGACTGTAAAAAGGTTTTTTCCTTGAAAAGGACATTAACACAAAGAAATTGAGTGAATAAAAGCACATTATTTTTTTTAAAATGACCAAGTCAAAGTCCAGACCTCAATTTAAACCTGAAGTTAATAATAAGACCTCTAAGTTCAGAGATGCTCAGTGAAATCAGAGATGATTTCTGTCAGGTTCCCCTCCTCGAGCCGCCACCTTATCGTGGTGGTTTCAGTGCCTGGATGATTCCCAGAGGCTATGTTGTCAGGGGCTTAAATATTCCTGGTAGGGTCATCTAAGGCAAACAGTGTCTGGGTGAAAGGTCAAACAAAGAGGTTCACAGAGCACCCATGAAGACAGAAAAAAAAAAATCAAGGCACATGACGTTGCCCGGTACGGCAGAGCTGCAACCCCACCCTGGAGCCAGGCCTGGGGTTGGGGTTATTTGGCGAGTGTCTGGTGTCCAGTGCGAAGAGCATTGGGCGGCAGTCAGTGGCACTTAGACTTAATCTGGAGACGTTGAATGTCATCTTGGTGTTCTGTTGGTGTCGATAGACGGATCGGAGCGGCTGCTGCTATAATGCGGACGCTGCACTGGTCTGTTGTGCTAAAGAGAGCGCTAAACAATATGGCAAAGTTTTCCATGTTTTCCATATTGCAAAGCTTTTCTACATTCCTACCCTCACCTACACTCACCGGCCACTTTATTAGGTACACCTGTCCAACGGCTCGTTAACACTTAATTTCTAAGCAGCCAATCACATGGCGGCAACTCAGTGCATTTAGGCATGTAGACATGGTCAAGACAATCTCCTGCAGTTCAAACCGAGCATCAGTATGGAGAAGAAAGGTGATTTGAGTTACTTTGAACGTGGCATGATTGTTGGTGCCAGAAGGGCTGGTCTGAGTATTTCAGAAACTGCTGATCTACTGGGATTTTCACGCACAACCATCTCTAGGGTTTACAGAGAATGGTCTGAAAAAGAAAAAACATCCAGTGAGCGGCAGTTCTGTGGGCGGAAATGCCTTGTTGATGCCAGAGGTCAGAGGAGAATGGCCAGACTGGTTCGAGCTGATAGAAGGGCAACAGTGACTCAAATAACCACCCGTTACAACCAAGGTGGGCAGAAGAGCATCTCTGAACGCACAGTACGTGGAACTTTGAGGCAGATGGGCTACAGCAGCAGAAGACCACACCGGGTGCCACTCCTTTCAGCTAAGAACAGGAAACTGAGGCTACAATTTGCACAAGCTCATCGAAATTGGACAATAGAAGATTGGAAAACCGTTGCCTGGTCTGATGAGTCTCGATTTCTGCTGCGACATTCGGATGGTAGGGTCAGAATTTGGCGTCTACAACATGAAAGCATGGATCCATCCTGCCTTGTATCAACGGTTCAGGCTGGTGGTGGTGGTGTCATGGTGTGGGGAATATTTTCTTGGCACTCTTTGGGCCCCTTGGTACCAATTGAGCATCGTTGCAACGCCACAGCCTACCTGAGTATTGTTGCTGACCATGTCCATCCCTTTATGACCACAATGTACCCAACTTCTGATGGCTACTTTCAGCAGGATAATGCGCCATGTCATAAAGCTGGAATCATCTCAGACTGGTTTCTTGAACATGACAATGAGTTCACTGTACTCAAATGGCCTCCACAGTCACCAGATCTCAATCCAATAGAGCATCTTTGGGATGTGGTGGAACGGGAGATTCGCATCATGGATGTGCCGCCGACAAATCTGCGGCAACTGTGTGATGCCATCATGTCAATATGGACCAAACTCCCTGAGGAATGCTTCCAGCACCTTGTTGAATCTATGCCACCAAGAATTGAGGCAGTTCTGAAGGCAAAACGGGGTCCAACCTGTTACTAGCATGGGGTACCTAATAAAGTGGCCTGTGAGTGTATGGTCATGAATTCAGAATCATGACCAAAACACAACCGAGATAGATCCCAGTGGGAGGAGGCCGAGGGGACAACCCAGGATACCATGGAGGAACTATGTCTATCAGCTGGTCTGGAAGGGGCTGCTCTGGGAGCGCCTCAGGCATCTTCCAGAAGAGCTGGAGGAGTTTTCTATGGAGAGGGAAGTCTGGGAGTATCTGCTGAGCCTGCTGTCCCTGTGACCCAGTCCCAGATTAAGACAGAGGCAAGGAGTATGAGATTAGAACAGTTTTCTGTCTGGTTGTGCAAAGATATTAGATTCATTGATTAAAATGTATAGGTTGTCTTTGTAAAGGTGTTTGACAATTTTATAGGTAAAAAAAGCAACAGGAAACGTATAAACCCGACTGACTTCTTCATGTTTGCTGAACATTGACCTACCGGAGAACTTGTCCAGCAGAGAGGAGCCTTATGTTGGAAGAAACTGGGAGAGGCAGCCCATTTCTCAACCAGTTTAGCTGTGGTTGAGGCGACCCAGTAGCAACACACTCAATACTGACAGAACTGTCCAGAACCGTGGTCAGAACCTCAACGGCATCACTGCTGCTACGAATAGCTGGGGGCACTGTGAAGGGACATGGTGTCTGAGATCAAGAAAAAAGAAAGCAGAGAAGACAAATTTTCGACCTTAAAATAAAGCATTATACCCACCATATACATGCAGATTAAATATCCTGCCCTCCTCTCCAGCAGCATTGGTGGCGACACAAGTGTACTTCCCACTGATAGCAGGGTCTGCTTGGGTCACAATTAGAGTTTTACCATCAGGGCTAACCCTAGAAGTGAAAAACAGAGAATGTCCCACATCTTTAACACCTTTCAGGCAGAAATATGTAATGTTTTTTCTAGCAAGATTAAGAATCTCAAATGCTTTTTTTTTGTTTAAAAAAGCTTCCAAATAAGATAATCCAGTCAAATTGATTAAAAGTTTTCTATCTAAGGAAAACTAGTTGATTGCATCTATTCATTGACTCAAATGCATTCCCTCACACTAAGCATACTTGTGGTGACAGTTGAGAGGAAAAACTCCCTTTTAACGGGAAGAAACCTCCAGCAGAACCAGGCTCAGTGTGAGCAGCCATCGGCTGAGAGGTTGTTGCTGATATGACAGTTCAACAGTAAGAGAGGCTAAGATTTAAATACCTGAGACTTTTGTTTGCAGTGCTGTTGATGGTTTCTCCATCTTTCAGCCAGTGGACTGTTGGAGTTGGGGTTCCCTGAGCTTCACAAACCAGATCGATGCTTTGGTTTACCAGGACTCCGATCTCGCTGGGCATTTCTGATCCAGAGATACTGGGTGGAACTAAGAGGACATTATTGGGTTAGCTGAAAAACAGCTGACAGGTATACATTTGTTATGCTATCCAAAAAAGCGATCTATTTGACACAGTAATGATGTTAATATACCTTGTATGGTGAGATGGTAACTCTTCTGTGCTTTACCCTCAACATTAGAGGCCACACATGTATAGGTTCCACTGTCAGGGAGCTGCAGCCGTGCTATCTGTAATTTGTTGCCTCCTGAGAAGATATTCACCTCCAGGGATTCTGAGTTCTCTAAGGGAAATAAGAAGTTTCCACCATCATGATTACTGTCCATAGAGATAGACCGATACAACGGCTGCCCAATATTTTTCTTATATATGCATGAGCCGATACAGTACGTGCCAATTTATCAGTGCATTCAGCAGCCAAGCTTTGAGATCATGTGAAGTGCATGCATTTCCACTCCCTCCATTTGCTACCCATTATAATTGTCTAGTTTTGTTTTTTAACACAATTTTCTTTTAGTCTAAATTGAGACTTGTAGAACATTTGTTATCACTGTGACATTTTTTCTGTTTAATTAAATGCCGTAACTAAATGTGGAACATAAATTTCTAATTCAGTTTGTATAAAATTCTGTTTCAATATTCACCTTTAAATAATTTCTAAATAGTTTTGTTTATTTGCAGTTGTTGACCATTTGTATCAGCATCCCTAAACAACACAGTCACAGTACCTATAGGGTGTCCATTTTTAAGCCACGTGAGACTGGGTGGAGGGATTCCAGTAGCGTCACATGTGAAAGTAACTGGGTTACTGATAGTTTCCACAATACTCTCCTCTGCTGAGCCGTCAATTTGTGGAGGAACTGTAGAAAAAGAATCATTTGTTACCTTACTGCAAATCTAAAACACATTCAAACACTTGCCAGTTATTTCAAATCTATATGTTGATATGCATTATATAAGACTCTACCATGGATATTCAAGTGGAAGTTCTTGTTCACGTGTCCAGCAATATTTGAAGCCATGCAAACATACTGGCCTGTATCAGACAGCTGAAGAAAAACAACAGACACAAAATATTACAAATTTAACACCACATTTATCAGAGGCTTCACACATAACCCTTTAAATAAGTATTAAAGCCCTTTAAACTCAAACATTGTGTACATACATATATATATATATAGAGAGAGAGAGAGATAAAAATATTGTGAAGTGAAAAATGGGTTTCAAGATTAACATTTGAAATTGGAAAGGTCTGTACGCAGCTCCTCTTAATATAGAATCCACCTGTGTGTAATTAAATGCTAGTACAATTTTTTTATGTTTCCTGAAAGGTTCAAAAGGTTTGTAGGAGATCATTAGAGAACAAAAAACACCATGAAGAAAACAGCAGATAGCTAAAACAGAAAGGTTAGAGGAAGCAGGATTAGAGTATTTGTAGCCATTTTTTGACTTCTCATAGATATTTATTCATCTAAATAAGTTTAAGTTTCAAGTTTCAAGAATTTATTGTCATTGTCAAAAAAAGGCAACGAAATTATGTTTGGGGTACAATACTTAGTAGCAGCAAGTTACTAAACAAGTGGAAACAAGTGCAAAAAAACTTAAAAGCAACAAAGAAATATCTCTATATTTAGACATATATACATTTAATCATGATTATCATGCAATGTGAGTGTATTTTTTTTAAATAAATACACTCACTATTAATTGTAAGTATGCTGTATTAATTCTAAATACAACAACCTGATGATTATCTATTTCATATAAATAAGCTTATGCAACATGTATACTTTATTTAAGAGGACAATATTAAATTTGAAAACAATAAAAAAAAAAGTAATTGGAATTTTTTTATGTAATAAAGTCTTAAAAGGTGGGTAAATGCACAATTTATGCAGGTGACAGGAGTTACGGGAAAGTATGTCAGTTGGTGAATGAAAATCTAAAGTATTAAAGAAAACGGAGCTGAGGTCCACCATTTAAAAGGTCAACAAAGCCAAAAATATCGGTAGAAATACAATGGATGGATATTTGCTGGCTACATTCCAAAAACTGAACTAAAATTAAGATTTTCTCGAAATAAGTCTATTTGCACTTATGGTAAGTAAAATGGTCTGCCAATAAAATAATAGTTTTGCACCTAAAATAGGGGAAAAAAACATATATGTAATAATAATAATCTTATTCCAAGTACTGTATATTTTGTCATCTTTTTGTAGGTGCCAAAATACTCAGATCAGGAAAAGCGCTGATTGCAAGAACTGTGTCATGTTTTAAGACTAATTTTTGCAACCAAACAGCCCAGCTGCAAATGCTATTGAGTCTAAGGCAGATTTTAAACTATATTTCCTCAGACTGTATATCTATATTGGCTTAAGATGTCCTACAAAGAAAATGGGCAGAATTTTCTCTAGATTTTCCCACTGTATAGAATAGAATAGAAAATCCTTTTATTTTCCCACGATGGAGAAATTCTGGTCGAAATATACAAAAGGTGGTTCAAGTATTTTTTTTAAAACATCTTTTCCTTTTCCTTCCACTTCACTTATATGCACCACTTTTTGCAAGTCTGTTGCATCGAGTAAAGTTTGATGTAACAAAACAAAACAGTGAACAATTTAACAGGTGAAAATACTACAGTAAGGAACTGTACAGATGTTTACTATGACTCTATAACGGAAAGAAGCTAACATGTTTTCGGTTACCTCAGAGTGTTTGATCTGAAGCATTTGTCCCCCTGACAGAATTTGTAAATCTGACGTTTCTGTCACCATTCGGCCATTCTTATACCAGGTGATCACAGGAGGGGGGGCGGCGTTGGACTCACACTCTAAGGTTACAGATTTTCCAACCACAATATTAACCTCGACAGGAAGGTCTCCAATACTTCCCCTGATACTTGGAGGAACTAAATATTCAAGGAAAAAGAAAAACAATGTGAAGTATATAAAGTAAACCTACAAACTGGAAGGAATTGAGAGAAATCTCATGAAGAAAAAAAGTTGGTGGTTGCCTGACCGTAGACGGTGAGATAGATGTGTTTGTAAGCTTGTCCTGCTGTATTTATAGCCACACAGCTGTACTTTCCAGCATCAGACACCTTTGCTTTAAGGATCTGTAACGTCCGTCCTCCTGAAGACGCAAAGGAAAACAAACCTGTTCAGAATCTTGCATCATTTTTCTTCTTTTTAAATACATCTAATAATTATTTCAGTACCTGGCATGACGAGAGCATTGCTTTTAGCCTGAATGGGCTCCTTGTCATTAAGCCAGCTCAGTGTGGGAGGCGGGAAGCCACTGGCTTCACAGGTGAGGGACACCAGGTTGTTCACCACCACTGTCACATTCTCTGGATTCACACCAACAATTGTAGGAGGTACTGCGTGGCCAAAAGACAAACATGCACCGCTCAACGCGAGGTTAAAGGCATAAAAAACAGACTCAGTCAACGTAGAGTCTTCAAATTAAAACTGCATCTAATTTGAAAGGCGCATAAAAAGGAAATTTAAAAGATTATCCAGTAACTCACCGTGAACGTTCAGATTAAAGTGTTTCTCTGCACTTCCAGCAGCGTTTTCAGCCACACACACGTACTGTCCTGTATCAGAAACCTGAGCATTCAAAACCTGAAGAGAGCAAAACTAAATCAAGATCAAATATCAGTTTAATACCAGAAGAACAGGAATTTTAGGTTCACAGCAAAACGAGGGGAAAAAAACTGTTATTAATGTTTATTAACTAATTAAACGAGAATAAATAATCTCCCATAATTGAATAAACATGTTTTAGTCAGTTTAAAAATGTACTTCAACAGGAAGCACACAAGACAATTTTGCTTGCAGAATAAAATAAATTGCAAATGACATGAATATATATTCAACAAACATTAAATATTTAGATACAGTATATAACACCCTATAATTCTTAGAAAGAGATCCAAAATGCTGACTCCACAAAAAAAACAATTAAAAGTTGTTTTCATTACCTAAATTACCTGACAAATAAAACATGCAAATGAGAGTAAGGCTCAGTTATGAAATGAAATATGTTAAAATCATAATGGTTTTTTATGTTGAATATCAATTAAAAACAATGTCGGCCGAGGGGTGTGCACGTCCCAAACCGAAAATTAAAGAATCTCTGCAACTACAAAGATACAACCAATAAACAAAAAAAAAAAAAAAACACACACAAATTGTTGCAAAAGAGAAAAGAATAGTCATGGAATATAATTCAGTTAAATTCTTGTCATGTCCAGACAATTCAACTGAGTCATGTAGTGAGATTGGTTGAACGGTTTCTATCTAAGGAAACCCAGCTGAATGCATAGAGTCATTGACTTTACAAAAAAAAAAATTGAGAGCAGCAAAGTTGACACGCCTTGCAAAAACAAAACCCGCTGCAAACACATAAATGACGTGAACTCTAAGTTAATAAAGGCAGCAAACCAGCTTAATACATTGGAGCTTCTCCAAACCATGCATCAGTCATCAGACCCTTAGTAGAGACAGAAACGGGATGTTCAGAGAGAAGGTTAAAAAAAGATTAAAAGGAAAACCTGCCTTTTATTTATTCTTACCAAATGTAACCTGGATATCCCATTTTTATTTTTCCAACAGATCTTGCCTTTAGACATGAATTCGTAGTAAAGTGTATGTTCTGCTCACAGGTGAGTCTCCATTGCAGAGATGGCAAAAGTACTCACTTTCCGTACTTGAGTAAAAGTACAGATACTTGTGTTAAAAAATA